AAAGATTGTTATAGCCACTATTTATTGACGATTATATTCCAAGTATTATGCTAGGTGCTTTACATATATTTTGTTAATTTTTTATTAAATCTCAATCCTAAAACTTCTCTTTGAGCTAGGTATTATTATGCTCATTTTATGGATAAAGAAACTGAAAATCAGAACTGAAACATAATTTGCTCCAGGTGAAACAGCTTACTGATTGGCAGAGCTGAAATTAGGACTTTATTGCTCACACACCAGGAATTGTCATTTTTGAAGTATGTATTGGAGAGATGGAAGAAGATTGCTGGAGTGTCTACAAGCGCATTCTTTAATCAGCATTTATTTGGTAGACCAGAGGACTGAAGTTTGTTCTTCTTTATAATGATATGTGACTACACACCTGTGAACGCATGCTCATGGGAGATAAGAGATATGGGAGTGTCTTAGTTACCTAGTGTTGCCATAAAAAATACAAGTGGATGGCTTAAAGAACAAAAATTCGTTTTCTCACAGTTCTGGAGGCTAAAAGTCCAAATTAGGGTCTTGGCAGTGTTGATTCATTCTGTGGACCTCTCTCCTAGTTTCTGGCAACTGCTGGCCGTTCTTATAGACAATCCTCACGTGGTATCTTCCCGTGTGTTATCTCTGTATTTATTTTGCTCTTTTTATAAGACATCATTTAGAAGTGATTAGACTTAGGACCCACCCTACTCTGGTAAGACCTGATTAACATAACAAAAGAAAATCCCTATTCCAAACAGGGTCATATTTACAGGGTAGGGTTAGGATTTCAATACATATTTTGGGGGAGACACAATTCAATCCAAAACAGGGGGTGTTTCCTCTAATTATATTTTTCAGCTATGTCCCTTCTTCTCGGTTCAATTTTGCACTTAAGAGAGCAAATGACTTTACATATAATTAGGCTTCATTTCTACCTTGCTGGAAGTTGATGTTATTACACTTAAATTATTATCACACTGTTGTTATCTGGGAAGAAACATATGGGCTTTAGATGTTACGATGAAACATACTAACTTCATCTACTCTATCCAGAGAAATACATGCAGTTTGTATGCAGATATGCAATAGAACTTCATCTGTTCAGATGTATATGAGCTCATCTGTAAAAATCTAGACCTTTCTCCCAGCTGTAAATATAATTGTATACATCAGTTATTTTCCAGTCTTTTTACTTTGCAAATCCACACTTTTTTGTTTCAGTCTTTTACTGGCTATACAACCTTAAAATCGTCAGCACGTAGGCCAAGTATTGGTCAATCACACCTTATTAATTAACCTTGAATACCAGATTTTGAGATGCTTAGTCTTATCATGAAAGTTTCTCTTTGCCATGCTAGAGATTCTTCTAAACGCCTCACCTTTTCTTAAAGAAGATTGCTTAGAAACATTGTTACGATCGTCTTTCTTTTCCTATATTTTCCAGGCCCTAACAAGTGTTGGTGGTTCAGTGGTTGAATTCTCCCCTTCTATACAGGAGACTAGAGTTTGATTTCCAGCCAATGCACCATATGCGCAGTCACCACCCAAGTGTCAATGGAGGCTTGCATGTTGCTACGATGCTGAAGAGGTTTCAGTGGATCTTCCAGACTAAGACAAACTAGGAAGAAGGGCCTGGCAATCTACTTCTGAAAAGTTGTTGATGAAAAATCTGTGGATCACAATAGGTCTATCCGTAACCATTCCTCTTCACGTGAGTAGAAGTCAACCCCACAGCAGCTAACAACAACCTGCATCCCAAAAATTCAGAAATGGTTTTGCATTGATCCTCAGAACTTTAGTTCAAGGATCAAAATCAGTTCTTTAGACCCCTCAGCCCTATATTTTCAGCAGTCCTCTTTAGCCTGCTCAACAGTCAGCCTCCTTTCCTAGTTTAATGATCCCAGGAATGTTGCCTGTGATGATCCTAGCCTGAGGAGGGTTAAATCACAACTGAAACTTCACCAAACCTTTGGAGTCTATGAAAGAAAAGTCAAAGTGTAACTTTAGATAACTAATTCATTCAAATGAATTAAAAGAAATTTGAACTTGAGGAACCAAAGACAGTAAAGCGAGAGAAAAAAAAAGCACTTGGTTAAAAAAAAATTGAGAAAGCAAAATATGTTTTGCCTGGATATGTAAATAAGAAGTCTGCCCCCCTAAAAATGGTCTGCAAAGGTAAGAATTAAGGAATTCCCTAGAATGGTCAGTATGGAATTATGGAAAAGATCCTCTTCAGGAATTCATTTGCTCATTCATTGTCAGGCACAGTGCTGAATACTGGTGATATGAAGTGAATATGACATGGCCCTAGTCCTCAAAGCTTACCGTCTAGCAGAGGGAGACACATCAACTGCTCTCCCTGCATGGGAGAACGGAACTCCTTGAAGTGTGAAAGATACCATGGGAGAAATATAAACAGGGCATACGTATTAGGCACACAGAGGGATGGTCAATTCTGTTATTCCAGTAAAAAAGATTCATAACAATCATACGAGGATGCTCAGTGAGAAAGGACCACCTCTCCCAGGGAAAACTGAAGTCAGAATTAACAGATACATTTAGTTCAAATTACAAGAAAGCGGGTTTTGAAGAAGCCTTCAATCTCGCACCAGTCCTGACAAAGAATGAACTGCTAAGTGTTCTCAATCTTTAACTTCCAGGATATCCAGGATATCACTTTTACAAAGCAGAATCACTGTCATATATCACTCAGCACCCCCCGCCCCTCAGTAACTTGTAACCGACGTTATCAAGCAAGCAAGGCTCAATCCAAACACCTCTCTGCACCCCCCACCACTACTCGGGGGCCTTGTTATCTTCGCTGGTAAAATCAGGTGACCACTGTGGACTCTAACATCCATTTCTGCTCTGAATTAAGAAATAGAGGCAAAAACCAGAAAGGAAACTCAAGAGAAACAAAAGTGAAAGTGCCTGAAGGAAATACGGTAGTAAACAAGAGTACAAGATTTTATGTCTCACTGAAAAACGTGGCAAGGTTCCCAAATATTTTGGGTTTTTTTTTTCAGCAACCATGAACACGAGACTTGGAGAAGAATGAAATGTCTATCACGCTCTCTGAATGTGAATAAAATCAGTGTAACGCGAATCCACCTAGCTCCATGCAACTGTCTTCTGAAACAATCCTCCCTGACTCTGAACAATGATTTTTAAAAAAATTTCTTCCTGAATAAGTCAATTCGTTAACAATGGCCCATCCCATCAAACAAACCCCCAATGAACGCCACACAACGGTGTGCCCTGCTTTGGGAAGAGGGAGGAAAGGGATAGAGAAAGAGGATTCGAACCAATGATAGATTCTGCCTGGTATTGACACGAAGTTGTCATAAACAACAGCGTCAAAGCAAACTATTTCGAAACTTAGGAAAAACAGTGGCATTTAAAACTTTTTTATCCCCTCGCGGTAATAGACCTGAACGTAACCCAGAAAGGTACAGCCTCCCGGGAGCGAGAGCACGAGCTCTGGGCCGGATGGGCTGGAAGCTGAGGCGACAGGAGGAAGGGACCAGGCTGACTGCTTCTCGGAGCATTTGCGGCGGGTATGGGGCTGTGGCAGGCGACCGCCAAGGGTAGAGGATGCGATCCGGAGCTGCTGGGGTCGGCTGGACTGCCTTGGATTGCAGATGAACCCTGCTCGCTGCTAGAGCCTCGTCGGAGGAAAGGAGAGCATCCCCCACGACGCGCGCGCGCGCGCACGCGTACATACACACGCACGCGCGCGCGCGCGCAAAGACACACACGATCTTTTCCCGGGAGTTGTGTCTAGTCTCCCTTTTGTTTTTCTCCCTTCCTGGTCATGAGACCCGGAAGTTTTTTTTTTTTTTTTTAATCCTGTCTCTCTCCCTTTTCCAGCTCCCCCCCCCCAGCCCCCAATCTATCACATGGCAAAGATAGAATAAAAACAGAAAAATGGCGACGGTCACGTTGTGGTGAGCCTTGCTGCGTCATTAGATAATCTTCATGCAAATAGCGGGAAGAGCAAAGGAAGGGGGGGCCCGAGACCCCACGGGGCGCAGGTGGGTGTGGGGGCGGCCCGCGGGGCGGGCACGGGGGCGGTGGGGCGCGCGCGGGGCTGGGCGGCTGTGGGAGGCGTGCGGCTGTGTCGACGTCCGTGTACGCGCCCGCGCGCCAGTGTCGAGCGCCGGGCTTTGCGCTCGTGGCACCGTCTCGCCGAGCGGCGGAGCCTGGCCCAGGGGCTGGGGAAGCAGTGGGGCCGTCAAGACCCAGTTGCGGGAGGCAGGCAGCTGCGCTCGCGCACACGCACATATAGCCGCGGGGCTCTGCCGGGTCGGCGTCCGCGCGGGAGGCGGGCCGAGGGGAGCTAGCGAGCAAGCGAGCGGGCGAGCGGCGGCGAGGGAGCCCGACTGCCCGGCGCTGGGCGACTGCCTTCGGCCGTCTCGGGGGACTGCACGCTGCTCGCCACCTCGGGGTAGGAAGCGGGGCGCCGGGGCGGCGTCGCAAGGCGGGACTGGGGCTTCACACTCCGGGACGGACTCCGACGGTGTTACTGGGCTGGGTTTGTTGTTGTGGTGTGTGTGTGTTTTTATGCGGTATGGGGAGACCTCGCCCATGGGCATTTCCGCGGTTTCCCTTTGGCCTTCGCTGGGGTGTCAGGAACGGCGCAGGTTGGTCGAGGGCGCTTGGAGCCCCCCGGCGCCCCGCTCCGGCCCCCGGGGGGAGGGGGAGTAGCGGCGCGAATGGGCGGGGTGTGTGTGTAAATGTTGCGCACTCGCTTTTCCCCCACCCCCGCCTCTTTCCAGGGTGCTGGCGTGGGTCCCTTGCTGTCCGGCGGCGACTGTAAATAGAGGCTGGATGTTGTTTACATGAAGGATCCGGCGGGAGGAGTCTGCGAGGAGGAGGAGGAGGAGGGAGGGAAGAGAGAGGAAGATCGGAGTCCCCCGCGGCGGCCGCCGTCCGGGATGAGGGTGAGCCCGTTGCCGCGCCCGGGGATCCGGCGCTACCACGAGGCCGGGATGTTGGCCCCCGGGGTAGGAGGGAGAATGAGCGCGGGGCGGGGAGGAGGGGGCTGTCAGATTGGCATTTTTGCTAACAACCTGCCACGCAAATTCCCCCGGGAAGGAGGACAAGGGGTGTGGAGGGAGGGCAGGGAAGCCTTGATTTCTCTGCACGTTCGGGAACGCCCCCTCCCCCCAAATCTTTTCCCGCTTTTCTTCGGGCTCACCTGTTTATTTCCATCAACCGGAGCTCGCAGTTTTTAATGTAGGCTTGAGAGGCTGTTTCTTTTATTAGAAACGTTATTGAGGAGGGGGTGCGTTGCTGTAATGTATGCTGGTCCAGGTCGTTTTTCAGGAATAGGGAGGGGACTTGGCAGAGACCACCTGCTCCTGGGCATAGCTGACCCTAGGGCTTCTCCCAGCCTTATGGAGCGAGGAACCCTTTCTCTCACTCAACTACCCGCACACTAGCGGCCACCTTCCCTGAGAAGGACCACGCCTATACTTATTCCCGCTTTGGAGGAGGGTGAGCTGAGGAACCAGGGAATCCTCTGTTCCCAGAGCTTTTAGCTAACACTCACCCCCCCCCCCCAATACACACGCACGGAATTGGCCAAAAAGTGCTTCTTTCATCTGTTTATTAATCTCGGCAAGTCCAAACGTTCCTGTCTCCCTTCTGCCGCCCCCCCCCCCGCAAATTGTGATCTACAGATGTGTTGGGATTATCTCTTGCCTTTGGACCTGCACCCCACCAACCAGCAACTAACTGCTGGGCTTAGGTTGAGAGAGGTGACCACCTTCAGCCCAGTGCACATTGGTCATTCCACACTGGGTCTTCTAATTGAATCCTTGTCAGCTCTCCCCCCACAGCCCTTTCTGGGTTAGAGCTTAGCCTAGAACTAGACATAAGCAGCCATCCTCTGGCTCTATCCCTGAGCCCCACCCTGGCCCCTCTTGGGTCTTCGGAGCCAAAAAACGCCTCCCAAGCAGACGGCACACCCAGCCCAAAGTGTAACCACTCCAAAACGGAGGAGAAAACAGTGAAAGAGAAGGGACACGGGGTGTTTTTTCTGTCCTGAATATCCCCAACAACATTTTACTCTTCAAGCTTCCTAGATTTATAATCCTTTTATTCTTCTTACCAGCTGCCCCCCATGTCCTTTCTGCACCTAGTCCTGCGGTACCTAGAGAGAGGGGAAGGGGAGGAAAGAGGTTGTCATCCCTCTTCCCTAGAGTAAGTTGTTTTCCTTCTTCCCAGTCTTTTCGGTTATGAGATATTTAATAAGTAAGACATATAAATATGTTTGCATGCTTATTTATAATTTACATTTGAACTTGTTTTTTTGCTGGCTAATGAATGACTGGGACTCTAAAGGGAGGGAGGGGAAAGAGGATGAGAAGTAAACACTCCCTAATTTCCCTCATTTGATCATCCCCTGAGTTGATGGAAGGAACCCTTGTGGTGCAGTAAGTTAAGCTCTGGGCTGCTAACTGAAAGATCAGCAGTTAGAACCCATCCAGCAGCTCCATGGGAGCAAGACCTGGTGATCTGCTCTGTTAAAGAAAACCGTATGGGGCAGTTCTGTTCTATCACATGGGGTCTCTATGAGTCAGAATCAACTCGATGGCACCTAACAACAAGAGTTGCAGGAGAAGACCCTTCTGTAAGAGCCTGCAATCTTCCTTCCATGACATCACCACCTAAGCTCTTCCAACTTTAGCTTCAGAACAGGAAGAAGGCTCAAAATAGAACTACCTTAGGAATCCAGCTCCTTTAGAAGATCAACTTTTAAATCAGCTGCAGGAGGGACACAGTGAACTTTGACATAGGGAATGAGAAGTGAGAGAAAGCTGTAGTGTTTTTAATTGGTTCCTTTGGGGAAGGGTGGGGGATACTTTCCGTGTATTTCAGAAAAGCGTTTCTCAAGATAGGTTTTGGGTACTTAGACCAATGAAAGATTAATATGATGGTTTGAGATTCATTTATTGAATTATTGATATGTTTCGGTATGTCAACAATAACAAGCACTTTTCAGAATGAATTAAAGAGTGGCTCCTGTAATGTGCACTACAGAATCGGCTATAGATAAAGAAGAGGGGGAAGCTAGGGGGGAGCACTTGAGGAAGGCAAAGAATCTGAGGATGCAGTGACAGCTGCTGTGAGTGTGTAAGTTGAGAGGCTCATTATAAACAATGATTGTAACTTTCGCAGAGTGACTGATATCCTGGACAAAGAAGTAACGATGTCAGGATTTTTCCATCTTTATTTTGAATATTAACTCCGTATCTTTGAATCTTGATGTCTCCACTCTTTCTCTGAATTAAGATGTGCCTTTCTTTCTGAGTTAAAAGAGTTATTGCCTTTGGTAAGGGCTGCTTAATAAATGATCATCACTGAAGCATTGACAAATTAAGGATTAGAAGTGGGACAGAAAATACGTGGTATAATGTTGGACACCCTGCTGGGTGCTATAGAAGGACGTTTGACAAGGTGACATTTTATACCCTGGTTCAGCTTTAAAAGAAAATCTAGGCAATAGAGACAGGATTATCTATACCTGTGTGGCTCAGTATAGTAGCCACTAGCCACACGTAGCTATTGAACACCTGAAATAATGGCTAGTGTGATGGGGAACTGAATTTTAAATTTTATTTAATTTTTAAAACTGATAACTTGATTCAGTTATTGGAAAAATCTTAAGTATGTTTGGAAACAATATGCATCTTAGGTACAGATCAGGTATTTCTGATGAAAATTTAGCGTTTGAAATAAGATGTGCTGTAAGTGTAAAATATACTCCAGATGTCAAAAGACTTAGTACGAAAAAGAAGTAAAATACCTCATTGATAATTTTTATATTGACCACATGTTCAAATGATATATTGGGTTAAATAAAATACATTGTTAAGATAAATGTCACCTGTTTATTTTTTTAAATGTGGCTCTTGGAAAATTTGTATATGTGGCTTGGAGGCCTGGTAGCACAGTGCTTAAGATTTCGGCTGCTAACCAAAATGTCGGCAGTTTGAATCCACCAGCCACTTCTTGGAAACCCTATGGGGCAGTTCTTCTCTGTCCTATAGGGTTGTTAGGAGTTGGAATTGGCTCAGTGGCAACAGGTTATATGTGGCTTGCATGATACTTTTATTGGACGGCATTGGCCCGTACTGTTTGCTACTTTCTGTCTGTGGTTAATTTCAAAAGAGGTAGCTGCATGAAATACTGCTCTTTAGGTTTGTCAGCATCTGCTTTCAACTGCTGTATTTTATACGGAGATTTGGGGACCCCAGGAGTTACAGTATGTGAGATCTCTTCGTGACTGCTTTACAGATTTTGATGGCAGGAGCCATACCTTAATCAGGGAGGTCAATAGAAAAGTCCACGGCACCAAGGTGTGCACATTTCCTGACCAGAAGGGCTTGCAGGGGTGTCATGGGAAAATTTGAGTACTCACATATGTGGCTGTAGCTGCTTTATTAAAAGGTTCCTGGGCATACCAAAACATATTAGAGAACAATATGTAGCACAGTAATAGTTGTGACTTCTGGTGGCATCTTGGTGATTCCACTTGCCTTTCTCCTCCTCCTCCTCTCTGCTTTTTTTCTATGTCTTCTTTATCTACTTTCTGTCCCCACATCACAGCTCCACTGGTGGTAATTGGGCCCATAAGGTTGCTGACCTCTTTCCTCTGAAACAAAGTACAGTGCTGACATGTTTAGAGATAGTGCTGTCTTTGGTGTTTTACTTTGTCTAACGAGATTCAGTATTCACACTGGAAGGGACTTGGGGCCATTTAGCACTATCCCCCTTTTTTTATAGATGACAAACTGTCATGTACCTTGCCTGAGGCCATTCCATATGTTTATGGAAATAAACATACAGTTTTTTGATAACCTCGTTAGAGAATCTCTAAGAAACCTAAGAGGATCATCATTAATCAAATATTTTTTGAGCTTACACTTTTTGGAAAGGGCTATGATGAGAATTGTAAAGGGACATAAAATAGTCCCTGACTTTAGGGAGAATACTGTTGAGTTTAGGAAATAAGACATAAACTGGAAAATTAAATTACATATAAAATATGGTGCTCAATAATGATTTCAATACCACTGTGGCATACGTTACAAGTAAAAATTTGTTCATTTTACCGATACAGATACAAACTCCAAGAATGGTGAACTCTGTGGAAAAAGCAGTGTAGTAGTGTTTATGGAATGGCCCAAGGCTCTAGAATTCACGGTCAGTGCAAGTCTTTGGTATTTGCCCTGTTTAGCTGTCCATTAAGGGAATTTGGAAACCTAAGATCCAGCATTTTTGAACGGTATTGTTGCAGTAATGAGGAAATCATAGATTAATTGGAGACAGAATTTTTAGAGATGGTGGATCATTTTGAAGTTACCAGATGTATTTTTAACTAGTTACTCTAAAAGGGTACAATATAGAGGAGAAATCTGAATAAAATTGACTTGTCAGCACGCTATAAAATTTATATTATAGGGAAAAAATGGAATCTAGAGCAAAATCAGAAAGCAAAACAACTGCAGAGTAAATAATTGGTCTGAAAATATTTATGCTGAGTACTTCCAGGAAAAAAAAAAAAACCTGTTGTCATCAAGTTGATTCCAACTCACAGCAGCCGTATAGGACAGAGTAGAACTGCCCGATAGGGTTTCCAAGGAGCTCCTGGTGGATTCTAACTGCACACCTTTTGGTTAGCAGCTGTAGCTCTTAACCACTACACCACCAGGGTTTCCATGTTGAGTACATAAATGAGGGGAAAAGGCCCGTGTCATAACAGATAGGGGCCACTCTTATTTATTTGTAAATTTTTAGTCTTCTAGAGGTTTGGGGGTTTCTTTAGATTAAAATCCTGGTCAATATGAGGGAGAAAGGTTATTCCTTTTTCTCTCTCTCTGCCTTACTGTAGACATAACCTTCTGTGATCAGTTTTTTATTCCAGATGGGCGTGGTAAGGTTATACAGTATAAAACTATATTTAGAGAACAGTGCTTGAAGCAGGTAAAACAGTGACATCCCCTCTATACTACCCCCTGTTGATTCTTCTCTGACGAAATAGGGGCTACCTTTGCACATGGTGGTGGTCCTTGACTTCTCTTGCTTCTGTAACCAGTTTCTTAAAAGAGAAAACTGTAACCTCTTCATCCCAGGTTTCTTAACTAATCTTTGGCACAAGTTAGTTTTTAAAAACTCTTAATCTAGCAGCGCTTTGCAATAAAATGCAAGTATACATTCTGTATGCTTCTGACAAAGCACTGGTTGACATTTCAGCATCTTTTGTTTATAGAACATGTTTATAACATCACAGTTTGGTCAAATTTTCACATTTTATAATGTCACTGAGTTGGATTATGATTTTCAAGTTGAAAAGTTCCACTTTATAAAAGACTAGGGGATTTAAATTTTTAAAAAACTATTTTAGTGTAAAAGTTTGATATTTTGCATTGCTTGTAGCTTATTTGAGGAGCCTTAGTGGCTCAGTGGTTAAGCACTTGGCTGCTAAACAAAAGGTTGGTGGTTCAAACCCACCAGCCGCTCTGCAGGAGAAAGATGTGGCAGTCTGCTTCCGTAAAGATTTACAGCCTTGGAAACCCTACGCAGCAGTTCTGCTCTGTGCTGTCGGGTCTTTGTGAGTCAGAATCAACTCGATGGCAACGTACTTTGTTTTTTGGTTTTTTAGTAGCTTATGTCATGGTAGTTCCAAATCTTTAATATATAATCAGATATTTAAATTAAAGTTTTAAAATCACCGTGTTTTCATTTTTAGTCCATAGATAAAAGGAATGTGACATGTTTGTGTGTGTGTGTCTACTTTTGTATTCCACGTTATTTAAAAAACCAAGTTCTTTGGTATACCAATTTGCCAGAAGTACCTGATTTTCTAAATAATAATATTTGGTACATTCATCATGAAGAAATTGTTCTTAATTGTGTCATTTTTACCATAGATAAGCTGATTTTCAAATCATTTTGATGTCTGGAGGAAAGCGTTTTACATCGCTGTTTTCTCTCTCCTCCTGTTAGGGTGCAGTGTACCTCTATATTGTAGCATGAGCACCCACAGTGACTTGTTTTTAAATTGAAACAATCCAGTTCCTCTCAGAAAAGTCGATTAAAAAAGAAAAGTTTCTGGTACATTTATTTATTTATTTTTTTAAATGCACACTTATAAAAAATAATTCCCATGAAGAAACAGAACTTACATCTTTGAAGTG